TGTAACCAAGGCTGTCCTGGAACTCACTCTGTAGCCCAGGCTGGCCTCAAACTCTCAGAGATCCACCTGCCTCTGCCTCTGCCTCTCAAGTGCTGGCATTAAAGTCATGTGTCATGACTGACTGTCTCAATTAACTTTTAAATTAAAATTTCAGGCCAAGTGTGATGGCACACACACTTTTTTAATCTCAGCACTCAGATCTCTATTCACAGCCACATGTGGTATTATTATTGCTGCTTATCTCCCCCAGGATAGTCCTCATTGCTGCTTTCCTGTTACATAATCTCATTACACTTTCAATTTCCTATGGATCCTGAGTTTTCTTTTTCTCATGATCCCCTTCTTAGTTTCAAATCATACAAATACAAACATGCACATGCATACAGACACACAGACACACACACACACACAGTCACTATGTCAGAACTATGTCTGAAGATCAATTCTGAAAACAGTGAGACTTCTCTCTGGAGGTGTGCTGGTTAGTTTTCTTTCGACATGGCACAAACTAGAGTCCTCTGGGAAGAAGGAACATCAACTGAGGAATTGCCCCCACCATATTGGCCTGTGGGCATGTCTGTGGGGGCATTTTCTTGGTTAGTAATTGTTGTGGGAGCTATTCTATAGCTCCTTGGTAACCTGGCTTTCCTTTCTTCAGGTGACTAGCTCTCTTTTCCTGTGTCTCTCCAGGTCCACCACCCCAGCCTTCCATCTGGGCAGTTCCAGGATCTGTGATTTCCACAGGCAGTGCTGTGACCATCTTCTGCAGGACTCCTCCAGGAGTGACCAGAGTGTGTCTAACCCATTTTGTACCGGATGGAGAGTGGTTTGATTGCACCCCACAGGGAGCCCAGGAGGTGTTTGAATTCAGTCTGCAGAATATGACACAAGGCGATGCTGGGATGTACTACTGTGAACACTCCAAGGGAGGCAAATCGCCACAATTTAGTGACAAACTGGAGCTGGTGGTGACAGGTGAGAAACTGCCCAAGCGCACTGTCCTTCAGACTCAGTCTCTGATGCCTACCTCACTGAACCACATTTGCCCCATCCCAGGCCCTGCCCTGTGTCTCTGCTCCCATATATGAATCTCTCCCCTCTCCTCTCATCTCTTTTTTACCCCCCTCCCCTTCTCTCTTCACCTCCCCTGCCCTCCCCCACCACTCTCTTTTTCTTCTCTCATTTCATCCTTTCCTTTTCAATTTCCATTTTTTTGGCAGTTTTTGGAGACAGGTTCTCAAGTATCTCAGTCTGGCCTTGACCTTGCTGTGTATCCAAACAAATCTTGTACTTATGACCCCTCTGCTTCTAGTCTCCTAGTACTGTCATGATAGAGGTGGACAATGACACCATTCATGTGGTGATGATTATAGGCCCCGGGCATTGTGTATATTAGGCAAGAACTTGACCAAGACTCATCCCCAGACCCTCCGGTTTGATTTGTGACCCTCCCTCTGTGCTGACCTTGTTCTAGGTTCCTTTCAGAACAGTACTTAAATCTCCTAAAGGATGGAGTTCATGGGAATCAACAGCAGCCTTCTGTATATACATAGACACTCTCTATGGTCCTGGTTCATGGAAAATGATACAAACATGTTTTGTGATCTGTGGGGCATTT